GGGTGCACCACATGGAGGTAAGTCTATCGCACATCCCAATTTGAGAAATAAGAAGTGCCTATTCTGTGAGATCATGAAATCATTCATTAAATTTAACTTTCACTATCCTTTTCGCAGTGAGACTTTAATCCACCTTTACTAGTCCCCATAGATTTCTAAACAAGGGGTTTGAAAATGAATGGGAATCAGAAAAGGATTCCAAGTCCCTTGGCAGACCAGGCTACTTTCCCCTTTCACATGACGGGAAAAGTCCACAATGTCTATTTACATATTAAAAGCGAATGCCTCCACATGTTTCAGTTATCTGCACTTAGGCTTATATGACACAATTTTCTCGGAAGTGGCAAGTGAGAAAATCCTAATTAACCAACCAACAAATATACAATGAAAAAGATTTATGAAAGTTCAATTTTGACATGAGTGCAAAAAAATTATATGAACTAAACACTTCTTTGATATCTCAACATACCTTCAACCACCTCACCTATAGCTCTTATTATACCTTTTCTACCCGACTTTAATCGCTCACCACAAGAATAACGGCAATACTTTCGCTTCACTGTGGGATAAATAAGAGTAAAACATGAAGTATGGAGTTCATACATCTATGATATTGGCTCTTCGTTCATCTTTAAAGCCTAAAGTGCAAGTGACACTTATGAATGTGTAAAATCCTGGAAAGTAGTGTATTGAGGTAAGTCATATTCCTAAAATAAGTAAAATATTGTGATGGTTCGATTGGCAATGGCAAAGAAAACAGATTAAGTACCACAAGTTCGTTCAATAACAACAGCAAATCTACTGATAAATGTTAAGGCGAATAAAATTCTGAGTTTTGAGAAACTGTTAAATTAATGCAATACCTTGAAGACGTAAACTGATCACTTATTCTCACCGCCATTCCATTTGATTATATTCGTCATCATAAGTTGACGATTTGCTTTTTAAAAATGTCTGAAAGGAGCAAGTAAATAAATACGTAGTTCAATTAACTGACTAATTTATTTCAACCATAACCCAGTTTAATGAGGTATTTAGTGCTGTAGGGCATACACATTTTAATATTCAAATCTGAAAAAAACAGAATTATGCCTCAGGCGTTCACTTTGACCTCAATTGATCCAAAGCAGTCAAATTTTCAGATTGATTCATAAAGAATGGAATTCCATTTTGAAGCAATCGGTTTCTCCCAACCTTCTGGCAGAAAGTTTATTGCGTAAAATCGGGTACAATTTCGAAATGTCACAAATTTTAAGGAAAGTATCACAACTCATGTATTTTTTGAGGTCACCTTCCATCAAAAGCATGGTTTTAAGGGATAGGCTCTCTCTCTCTGGACGATATAATAAATGTTTAATACCTTGTGGCGGAGGCGAAATTTTCCATTTGCTTGATCGTGGATAATCAATTCATAATTTTAATTGCTACTGAATTATTATTAGTGCCTATTGAGGAAAAAAGGTTGTCGCGTATGCTGTTTGTGGAAAAGTAGGGGTATTAAAATTGGAATGTCGAGTAGATTGCGCAATATTTGTGCGACATTAGCCTCTTTTTACTAAGAAAAATTTCAGCCCTAGTTTAATAAACGGAATGTCTGAAAGGCTACAAATGATGGAAGCAGGAAGCCCTTTTTAATTACTTGCCTTGTTTTTTTTCATGAAAGTTCAAAATAAGATCGATTATTTTTGACAAAATGAAGAGTATTCACACAGAAATGGTTATTTCATATCTGATGCGCATTTCTCTTCAAACGTTTAAAACACTCAATCTTTAAAAACATCGGTTTTTATACCAAAGGAAATAATAAACCAATACACTTTTGAGCTTTAACTGGAGATTGGCATAGTAATTAGCTGGTTGGAAACATTAGAACGTAATATGCCATCAAGGGAATTTTAGAAAACTTGCTTTGAAACGGTGGATCATGCAGTTATCACCACGGTGTGAGTCGCCAAGGTAAATGCTTGCTTGGCACGCTTCACTTGATCTACATCTGCGTATAATTATTTTCCCAAGTTAAATTGTAATAAAATACTCCTCAGCGCGGGGTGTGCGATAGACTTACCTCCACGTGGTGCACCCTGGGCAACGTATATTCATACGGCAAAAAGTCTATTATTCGGCAGTTGACCTCTGACTCCAAACTACCCTCACCCCACTGTATGTCATATTCGACTACTTCAACCGTACTCACCTCACCTTTTTCCAACTTTGCGTCTGTCTCTTTTACATCTTTGAAACACTCTTCTGTCCCCCCCCCCATCTCGACCTTTTTCACTTTGATCTCCCTTCCCATCTGTGAAGCCTGAAGTCAACTAAAGGGCTAATGATAACTATTTGACCATTTGATATAAATAAATAACTCCTCAGCGCTATTCCCAAACCCACAAACAGAATTTACAGCTGATTTTGCTATTAATCACTAAAATATAACACATTCTGAGGCCTTTATGCTAGTAGTAACTCTTATAGATGCACATCTTTCAAATATAGACCGCATTCTTCATAAGTCTGCCTTTCTTGCGGAACAAATGAATGAAACACAAGTTACACTTCCCAGCAGAGTTCGAGCATGCACCACTTGCAAAATAAGCACACCGCAAAACCCCACCCAGTTGAAAGAAGGTTTTCTCCCTAAAAAATTTAATCTTGTATTGATGGTAAGAAATGGCGAGTGGCCTAAGCAATCGCCTTGCGTAGCGTGCCTACGGCAAAGGGAGCACAAGAGAACTCCAGCAAGCAGTAGGATGCTCTATTACCCCAAACCGCGAAAAGCTTCGTGGCTAGATAACCCAAAATTAAATCATTGTTAAGACAAATCGACCCTGTGGCCACCGTATGAAATCAATAATAGCAAACAGGAGCACTTGTCGTTTTTCATATACATTTAGTGTATGCTATAAAAGCACTCTGAATAGTGGTGACCACATGAGAGCCACCGAATGGTTATGTGTATGAGAGGAAACAGCGTTGCAAATAGATTTCCCTCCTTGCATCAACAAGAAGGGGGCAGGGAAGCGGACATTGTTAGATAGTAGAGCATGATAGTTGTAGGATAAAAGAAGCATATAGGAGGACAAAAGAGAACAGGAAAGTAGAATGTAAACAGAAGAATAAGGACCTTTGTTTCTTTTCTCCAAAGTACATGAAAGATGCGAGGTGTACAAGAAGGAGATACAGCAAGACATTGGACGACATAGGAATTAGGGGAGGGGGGGGGGGCAAAGTTTTCAGTCTTGGCTGATTACAGAACAAAAGTCATCGCGAACTCAAGAATCATCAGGAAGTAACAAGGACTTGAATATTGACATCTATTTCATAATATCTAGACAGATGGTAGACCTGCTTTGGCTCTACATTGGAACACCATAGCGCGTTTCATGAATTGATTGCGAGACTGATCTCTCACAGCTTTTAGGAATTCGTCTGGATCGATGGAACCGTTTTCAAGAGCTTGCGACAAGTAGTAGAGCACATCACCGATTGCCTGCTCCTCCGCAAATGCTTCCACTAGCCTAAATGTTCAAAAATGTAGTTAGTTAGAATTCCATAAATATCTAGCACTTAAAGCCGATAGAAATTGCAGCGCAAAACCAGTACTAGGTATGTACTGCTAAAGGGTCACTTCCCGAAATTTGAAGCAGTAAAATTCACGATCAGGTGAATATAAAATTCGAAATAGTTGAGACAGCTTCAATGTTTTGACACGCTACTTTTGCTTCCTCTTAACTAATTACTGAACTATTTGACGTTCTACGTGTCTTGATGCTTTGCCATAATTAAAACGGTTCATTTTCTGCTTCATAATAGGAACACTAAATAAAAAGCGCACGTGAATGAACTTGAGGGCATAAGGAATTAAGTAGTAATAGTGTAAAACAATATAAAAATTAATGTAAAGCACCTTCGAAGCCAGAGCAGTAATCAAAATATGGGATTGCGACAATGAATAAGAGTACTACAAAATCCAGAATTATGTTCACAAAATAGCAGAAGTATAAAAATAAATAGAACATGGCAAGTTTGCTAGTCTACATAGGAAAGAAGCGCGTTCCGTAAAAATATCAAGTGGTAGGTAAGGTATAGCACCAGCTTCATAACTATGACATTGATAGAAGGCTTAACAAGTGGAAAAAGCAAAATAAACGTCAAACTGTACCCAGATTGCATAGTATACTGATCGAATGGCAAGGAATATAGTTCAATAGTTAACCTCGGTGTTGTAAACTCAATCAAATAAAATTAACTCCAATAAATTATAGAAGCATTAACAAAATATATGGAGGAGCTGTACAAGTTTTCCAATAAGATTCCAATTACAATTGATCGTTGGCTGAGATAAAGAAAAAGCAAACATACTGTTTGTAAACTGGAGTGGTAGTGTCAACAACTGAATCGTAATCCACATTCCCGTTGGCTTCCTGTTCCAGCTTTCGGTAAGCCTCCTTGTACTCCCGTGTCTTATCCTTTAACTCCCGAGTTAAAGACCGAACTTGGTCCTAAAAGCATAAATAAAAGAATATGATCAAGAAGCCTAAAAGAAAAATGAAGGTGCACATTATCCGTATACGCAGACCAAGATGCATTCTAGTAATAAATTTTGCATTAGAAACAGAAAACAAGCATCACTTTCCTCCATTTGGTAAAAAATGCGTATTAAAGTAGTAAACTGAACCACTAAAAACTCCACCAAGTTAGGTTGGATATTCCCCCCCCCCCCCCACCCCAGGAAAATGATGATCCGTCTAAAGCTAACAGGGTAAAAAAGCCCAAGAGCCAAATCGAACCGCTTTTAGCTTACTAGTCCGAGTCATATTGGTGCACACCCAATGAGCGAAATGACAACAAGATGTGGTTAAATTTTGTCAGTAAAGAGGAGCTACCGAGCTCAAATCTCCCACTCATAAAGCCCACGCATGCATGCTACCATAACTAGGTCTGAATTATTAGTAACACATTGAATTCCGAATGCAGTAAAGATTACGCTTGTCAATGAATTTCAATTACAAAATTAATTAACAGGCTGTGTTTAAGTGATGAATTGACCGCCATTATAGACTCTATTCGGTTATGTATACTTCAAACACGATGAAATATTAATGAATGACCTTGAGTATTAAGAAAAGGGTACACACTGCATGATTGAGAAGAAAACACCGCATTTGCCTTTTTTCACACTAATAGAAACGTATTCAAATAGGGAGAATATGGTAATACACCCGAGGAGAAAGGAGACCAAAGGGATTCTGTTTGCCGGCTTTTCGTATGGGGACTTACTATTTAATGTTCTAATGTCCCAGGCATCCAATGGCATGATTAAGCTCAGACTGCTAAGCAAATCCTTGCACTCGATGCTGAAAACCTGTCGACTAGTTCACAACAAGTTAAGTTGTCGGTACTATCATCTCGAAAAGTCTACATCGTCTTAATGTCGAGTAGATGGATAAGAGGGGCTTCACAAATTCCAGAGATCACATAGACAATAATAGTAAACTGTATATACGCGATGAATGTTTAGAATGAAATCAACACGAATGCAACCATTAGGATTCGAAAATATTCAAGCATGCTTATCAGCGTGCAAGTAACTGGTATCGCCTTAGACGTATACCTTAAGTCTACTTTAAGCAACATAAAATGGCGAAATCACTCTCGAAAACCTCAAGGCACATGACAAGAAAAAATGTCACATACTGGTACCTGCTTGTCATCACAAAATCATAACGACTTATATCTTTACAGGCTTATACATCACTAAAGACCATTAAAGCCACATGATCAACTCCAAGATCTAATCAAGTTATATTTAGAACCTCAGTAGTGATTCAACTTGACCATAGAGAAAACCATGATTAAGACTATAAGAAATCAAGCGTCGTAAATATCATTGGAAAAAGTACACAAAAGCCAAATTGTGTGTGGACTGCTGAAATAAATGAATTTCAAGCGAGAAAGTGAGATGGAAAACCACAATGGAACGATTGGCAAAAAAACCACCTACTAACGACAGACTACCTCGATTGGTGCTTACGCTTGACTTAATCAGACAAAAATAAATTGAAGTGACATGATTAACCACGATTAATAAATGTTTACTACTGTTCCCACATTATCCCATAAATATTGAGGTCAATCCGTGGAATTTGAATAATTAGCAAAAGCAAAAAGCCTTGGCTATCATGACTTCATTACCTACATTTTGATCCCAAACCCTTCCCCTGTATGACGAATTCGTTATCAACTATCCCTAATGAGATATTTTCCAAAAGTCAAATGTTGACACAAGACTACTCCATTCTAAGCGACAAAATAAAGCTAGAGAACGAAAAATGAAAAGTAGACTGCTTGGTTATTTTGGAACCTAGGTGAAGAAAGGTTCTTCCAATTATTGGGTTGGCAACTAAGTCATTGCCGTTTTTGT